GCGATTATCCTGTTTCTTTTTTTTATATTTTGCTAGGGACCACGTTTCCTCTCCAGTTGATCAGCAGTTCTGAGGACACTGATTAAGCTAGTGTGCGAAGAAGGGAAAAAAGAATCGTTTTCTTGTCGAAGACGGGTGAAGAATCATTTTTTTTTTTTTCAAAAATTGCTAGTCCTGCAAAATTGGTGATCTAGCATTATTTATCACCATCGTCTAAAGTATCTTCAAAAGAGAGAGTCATTGACAGTCTTGCCAGTGACTAGTTGCTTTTTTAGTACTTGTTTTCGTTAAGGCTAATTCCGAGTGTTTCCGCCTCACGGAAAGCGAAAACAGGGGAAGAATAGGAGATTTGGCTTTGTGAATTTGTAAAATTTATTGTTTATTAACTTTACTAATGAATTTCAATTGATTCGTCGAAAAGTTTTTTCGCGATTTTTTTTTTTTGGAAACTACTTTGAAATGCGTAGAGCTTTCTGGAAGACATGATTGCGAAATTTTTTGAGCTCAGTACGGTTGCGAGAGGAATTCCCCTGATTGATTACTTTTTGAATGTTTTTTTCGAAAAAAAGGCAATGAGGAAATTTTAGGTTTGCCAGTACCTGCTGGAGGATTATATAAACAAGGGCCGCGGTGCCGAATTTGCTGCATTTGTTACGCAACCACGACGAATTAGCGCAATAACATTGGCTGAACGAGTGGCGGATGAACGTGGCGAACAACTTGGAGTATCTGTTGGCTATGGTGTCAGGTTTGATTTACACATAGGGCTACGATACGATACATTTACTCATCAACCGTGGCATATATTCTGTTCAAAAAAAAAAAAAAAAAACAGTTGATGCACTAATTTTCAAGGCTTTTGACGGCAAGGTTTTGTTTCTGGAAAATGTAGATAAGTAAAAAGATAAGCAAATGCCATTTCAGATTTATAGATTTTTTAGGTTACGGGGAGTGGGAGAAAAGGATCCAACTTTGAAGAAAAATTTTTGCATAAAAAACAGTCGGTCATGTGGGGTGTAGCAACTAGATTTAGGAAATTGCGACTATTGCACTGCACAGTCCCCACTTTCCTTCGCAATTTATTAAAAATAGGGATACGCTACAGTATCTCAAAATACCGTAATTCACAGTAAACTAAAATACGGCACCACAGGGTACTGTAGTTTCGTTTTGAGATTGCTATACCTTAAAATTACTGTATTTTACAGTGCAGTGCATTTAACAATTTTCATTTACTGTACTAGAGAAATATAACCGCGTTATTTACAGATTTGACTCCGTTCATCCGCGACCGTATGGAGCGCTGATGTT